TTTTTCTCTGTAAAGGAAACACTGACAGGATGCTCTGGATACCAATCAAGATACCAATCAACACCCTCGGCATCTGCGGCACATTCGACCTAGTGTGGCACAGAGAAGTAGTAATCTCTTGCGGCTATTTGAGGATTACCACAATGGAAAAGCACTACACGTAATTGTCGGTGTGTGTGTAACATGTACACACACACACACACACACACACGCACACACACACACATACATATATATAGCACTTGAAAACAGGCAATCCTACTCATACTTCCTCATTTTATCATGTCTTTACTGCTGTTTAGCCATATTCCCAAAGAAAAGAGTTGATGTAAAATGTAAATATATGCATTCTGTTTTCCATGTGTATTTAGAGTTTTCATTGGACCATAGAGGGATGTTGCCAAGTCGCTAGTGTGTTACTATTATGACTATCCCACAGTCGAGAACCTAAGAGACTGGAATGGATGGAAGTTGGGGGTTCGTTTAAGGGGACAACCACTGTGTATGGTTAGTGAGACAGTATGTACAACTCGTGAACTTGAATTTTAAATAGTGTGAATTTTGAGATGTTTTTTTTTTTTTTTTTTTTTTTTTTTTTTTTTTTTTTTTTTTTTTTTTTTTACATATGTAGCATCACATCGTAGTCCAACAATCTTTCAGCAGTAGATCTTCAAATTCTTATTTGGGGGGAGTTAATTTGATTGGAAGTTGTCTCATGAAGATTAAGTTACCCTCTGGCAAATACCAATAGATGTAAAATCATAATACTAACTTTTGAAAGATATTTGTTGTCTTATCTCTCTTTTTTTCTTATTTTTTTGAGGCCGTATCAAGTACAAAATTTCTAGCTGTGCTGGATTCCAAAAAGAGTTCATTAGATAGTATGGAAATACCAAGGTGATTGAAGCAGCTATAGCCTCCGAGTCTTTCTGCTGTCTCGACCTTGGATCGCTATAAGACATAAAGTACCCGCTACCATAAACCACTTCTTTTATGATATTAGCTTAGGTCTTCTGTCTCCTT